GAGACCGACAGACACACAGACAGACAGATACGTCGCCCGACCGACAGAGACATACACAGAGAGAGAGAGAGAGAGAGAGAGAGAGAGAGAGACACACACACACACACACACACACACACACACACACACACACACACAGACAGAGAGAAAGAGAGAGAGAGCTGAAAACCAAAGCCCTGTCTCCCCCCCCCCGATTGCCTGCAGACAGAGAGAGAGAGAGCGTGAGTTGACGTTATGGCGGGGAGGGGGCTGGGGGCGGCCGGCGGCCCCTCCGGCGGTGGCGGGAAAAGAGCGGCGGGACACGTGCCGCGACCCATGTACGAGCCCATCAACACCTCAGCCCCGTCCAAGACGGACCTGGAGTTGGACGCCAAGCTGGAGGCGTTCATGCGGGACAATGTGCCGGTGATGACGAGCGTCGATCTGCGGAGGAGGGAGCAAGTGCTGGGGAAGATTCGGGCCATGTTTCTTCAGGTTTGTCGAAAACAGTGAAAAAGATGAGGCAGTTGTACTACCGTGAGAGATATGGCACCCCCCCTAGACCGGTTTCGCAGTAGCCTTGGCATTTTTTTTTTTTTCTTGTGTTGAGCTCTCAGCAAGTCTCGATCTCAAGCGCATGCGATACAACGAAACTCCGAGATAACCCCCCATGTATGGTACTACCGTAAGACACGGAGAGATGTTAGGCAACCCCTAGACCGATTCTTCAAAGCTCGATTGCTCCACAACCAAGCGCTTGTGCCAACACCAAAAATGGTGGTTGCGTGGAAACATGTCATCGGGGGCTTTCCGTGGACGTATCGGGCTCTGTTCCGCACCCCCTTGGTTGTCGAGCGATCCAGCCTTCAAGTCCGGTGGACTGCCTACGCAAAGAAACGAAGTTTATTACGAAAATAGACCAGGGTGGGGGCACGCAGACCGTAACCCTATCCTTAGCGTAGCCGATTCTATGCTTTATCCAGTATGTTTGCTTACGTAAAAAACATGCTTAGACTGCTGTACGTAAGGTAACCACACCCCCTTTTTCAAAGCTCGACCACTCTCCACGGTCAAGAGGATGCCAAAACGAAACGCTACAGCTGCAGTACGTTTTCACAACGCGAGGTAGTGCCGCCTTTTTCGGCACCATTGCTGCCTATGCTGCAGAGCGATCAAGATTTGAACATCAGACCAGGGGGTGCGGTATATTACATCATGCAACCCTACGGTATTCTGTTTTGGCCTGCGCCGGGACGGAGATGTCCGGTGGCGAGAGGCAACACCGCGAGCGACGGTTGCCAAGATGTTGAAGACAATAGACAGACACGAACGAAAGAGAACAGCGCTCTACTAATCGATGTAGAACATTTCTCACCCACATCGTTGTACAACATCGTTCCTGGTGTTTTTTTTTTTTCCCCACTACATGCTGGTCTTGTTGAGGGAAACCGGAGGGCCTCCTTTTTTCCGTCTGTTTTAATCGGTTGCGCTTTGCAATATTCGATATACACGGTGAACGCAATGTGTGATGCCCAACGCATCTTCCTCGTTCCGTTTTCTGTCCCGGTGTTGTTGTCTCTGTCTCTCTGTCTCTCTGTCTCTGTCTCTACTCACCCTCTCTCTTCCGCATCCTCCTCTTCTATCTATACTCTCTTTGGTCTGTCTCTCCATCTCTGTCTCCATCTCGCCCTCTCTCTTCTGCTCCCTCGTCTTCTACCCTCTCTTTGTCTTTGTCCTCATCCCAATAACTTCCCTCTCCCAAAAAACAGTGGGTAATCGATTCGGCCCTGGAGGCAGGCATGTCGGAAGAAGCGGCAAAGGCTGCCGGAGGAAAGATCTACACCTCCGGCTCTTACCGCCTCCGAATACACGAGCCCAACTCCGACATCGACGCTATCTGCGTGGCTCCGCAGGTGCGAAGTAGAATCAAGAGGGGGGGGGGGGGTACCGTACACGTGCTCGTGTTGACACCGCCACCGCAGATAGGAAGTGGTTGTCGCTGGGCTGCTGTGTGCTGAAAGATAAATGAGTGTTTTTCTCGCATGACGCAAGAAACCACCGCCCCCCCCCTCGGGCCACTGTTTTTTTGCGGAGGGGTGGGGTTCGCGAGGCCCCTGGCGTTTGATACTGTTCTTACCTAACCGTGAACTGTAAGCATGGTTAAGAGCTGTTTGTATGTGCACCGCACTTTTAATCTCGCGCGGTATGCCTCACCCTTGCCGCACGGGTACTGCCGAGATCACGCGGGTGTGGTGGGAAATAGAGACCGCTGCAACATGGAAGATAGTTAAAGCGCGAATCACTCGTCGACTGTAAGCAGCCGGCAGCACTGATGGCGCGTGGGACGTTTCGTGGCGTGCTTGGTGCATACCATAGCTCGCTTTTCCAGAATCTTGGCCGCTCTCGCCTTCGCGAGTGGTACGGCCAGAGTTCTGGTTATTACAACCCCGCCGCAACAAGGACTAAGTTGTCATGGGTGGAAGGACGGCAATGGACTACGAGAGAATGACTCCTGTTGTGCGGCATTGCCATCGTACAGATGGGTATCGTGTATGCTATGGGTTTTGCTCGAACGGGGCCTGTCTTAAATACGAAGTAACTCCCAAAATGTGTGAAGTGTACAGAGGAAGCACGGCACGTTTACTACGTGAACGCAAGCGTTTGGAACGGGAAGAAGCTAGTACCCGAAATTCTCGTGTGTGTGTGATGAAAAAGTGAGGCGTGTGTGTGTAAAAATGGCAGACTTTCAGGAAAGTTTTCTTTTCATCCCCAACGACAACGACTATTC